AACAACTGATTGAATCACATTATTGCTAGTCCATTGTAAGGTTAAGCCCACCTCTCTTCCCTTTAGTGTAGATAATATCGTTTGTTAAAAAAAAATAATAATTTGACAACTAATTTAATCACATTATTATCCTCATGCGAAAGATGCCCCTTCAAATGTTTTGAAAGTGTTTAAAATTTGAGAAATTGAATCACATTATTGTTAGTCTATTGTGAGGTACTAATTAAAAAAAACCACAAAAAAATTAATTATTAAAAAAATACTATTAAAATGACGAAAATGCCCCTACCTTATTTGATGCATTATTTTAGGATGCCTTTAAAGTTTTTTGTCTTGAGGCTATTTTTGTTCAAATATTTTTGTTGAAGCTTTGTGACATCAAAATCACTATTCACTTTTCCATTGGTTTTATATATAATAATTAGATAATAGATAGATGAAGTTGCAAGTGTATATTATAATCCAAATTGCAGGATTTTACAGCCGACATGTTCATACTTATTTTATCAACTTTTATTATGCAAAAAGAAAGGATAACTACTAATCAGCCCATTTGTTATCAGTGGCTAAATAGCTAAAATGATCTATGAGATTTGCATAACCCATCACTTTGGTCCCTGATATTAAAAATCAAAAGAAGTGGTCCCTGAGATTGTCCACTATCCATCATTTTGGTCCTTCACTTAAAAACTCTTTGGGCAATTTTCAAAGTTTCGTAACTCAATCGTTTCTTAACCAAATTCGACCCATAATATAACAAAATGAAGATAGGAGAGTGTAGAATAAGATTATACCTATTTGGAAGCCAAATGGTTACCGGAGATGGTCGGAAAATAGCCTCAAAGGTGACTGGTCCGCGAGAAAACTGGAAAACTTGCCGGAAATTGAGTCAACTTTAAACGTCCATAACTTCTTCAATACTAAACAAAATCAAGTGATTCGAAAACTAAAATAATACTTCTCAACGAGACAAAGGGAATAGTATCTTTCTCGATGGCTAAATTATCGTGGTTTCGCCAGAAAACGGCTCGAAAGTGGCTAACGCAAAAACGGTTAGCCAGTTTTGAGCCGTTTTCCAAACAAACCATGATGAATTAGCAGTCAAGAAAGGTACCATTATCTTCATCTTGTCGATAAGTATGATTTTCGTTTTTGAATCACTCGATTTCGTTGAGTATTGAAGAAGTTATGAACGTTTAAAGTTTACCCAATTTCCGGCGAGTTTTCCAGTTTTCTCGTGGGCCAGTCACCTTTGAGGTTATTTTCCAGCCATCTTCGGGAATTATTGGGCTTTCAAATAGGTATAATCTTGTTCTACATTTTTCTATCTTCATTTTGATATATTATGGGTCGAATTTGGTTAAGAAACGATTGAGTTACGAAGCTTTGAAAATTACGCAAAGAGTTTTTAACCGAATGACTAAAATGATGGATGATGGACAATCTCAGGGACCGTTCTATTGATTTTCAATCTCAATGACCATTTTGACTATTTAGCCTATATTAGTGCTCAATAGGAGTGATTTTTATACATTCTTTTCCATTTCATGCATTTTTCTCACTTTATTTTCTTTTGGCCTCTTCCATCCAATAGTTAGAAAGGAGCACATAAATCGCTCCCATTAGAGAATATGCAGAATGTTCCTAGACACTAGGCGACCTATAAATGCATAGCTGCTCATCTTTGGATTTGATATCAAGAGTTTAAAAAAAAGTTTAAAATTGCCATTTAATATTATGATCTAGGGATATTTCTCTTTACTTCTAAGTGGAAGGTCTTAGGTTTGATTCTCACCAAAGGTGAATTTGAATCATATTATTGCTAGTCCATTGTGAGTCTAAACCCACCCCCTCTCCCTTTAGTCTAGATAATATCTTTTGTTCAAAAATAAAAAAATAAAAAATAAAAAAAATTTAAAAGCATATTCTTGAGCTTGAGTATGTAATATGATGTTGCCCGACTTAACATAACATAAACAGAGTTGGGTTGGGCAAAAAGTGTATCTACAAAGCCCATTTTTTTCCAAAAGCTTTACTCCACTATTGTTTGCGTTTTTTTCTATGTTAAATGGAATAGGACTTTTAGCAAGGAACATTTTGATAATATCAATAATATAATTTAAACACACAAAATTAATTTTATTATTGATAAAAACCATTATTAGAGATGAGTTTTATCATTATTTGCGAGACCTATTTGTATTTAAGAGTCTGCCGGCTTTGGGCCGTATATTGATTTGCCACCTCTAAAAAAATATCATACGTGAGGTTTTAGGTTCGATTCTCGTTAAAACCGAATTTGAATCCATTATTGTTAACACATTGTGATACTTAACTTACTCTCTCATCCTTTTAATGTAGATACTATATCATTTGTTCAAAAAAAAAAAAAATTGTCACAAGGACTACTTATCTTGGGTAATTTTTGGTAACAACAAATTTGATCCTCACATCTCACAGTTCCAATTGTCTCCTTTTGATAAAAAGTTAGAGAGATTATATTCACACATATTAAATTACTTCTCTCACACTCTTTTAATTTTTTAATTTTTTTAATTTTTCTATCAAGTGTTAGTAGCGTATAAAAAATATTAATAAATTAAAAAAATGTTGAAGAAGTAATTTAGAAGGTGTGAATATAATCTCTCAAAAGTTAAAACTACAACTGCTAGTGGTCCTCTCTCACTCATGGCAATCTGTCACATTATTTCCACCCCTATCTATTTCTCTATCCCAATACCACTTGTTTGTAACACAAACTTTGTCCGTCTCCAAGCCAACAAAATACAACCAGACAATTCCTACAATTCAATCTCAAAAGAATTAATTGTTGCCTGTGTCCTTTTCGATATAGAAAACGACCCATGTCTTCGCTGTTTCTGTAATGTCACAAAATTTATACGGATCATAATTACGACGAGGACTTGGTAGAACTAGAACGAGTTCATCATCATCACAACGATGCGGATCATAATATAATGGCTAAATAGCCAAATGGTCCATGAGATTTGCATAACACATCAGGAACTAAAGTGATGTGTTATGCAAATCTCAGGGACTATTTAGCTATTTAGCCTAATATAAAAGCTGATACACATTTGTGGCATGTTTACGAAACTGGAATGAAGGTAGAAGAAAGGGAATTGAATTCTTCACCAAGTTATTCCAGCGTTTACTAAATTTTGGAAATGAAAATATTCGTGGGCTTCACCCAAAATCAGTAATCAGATTCCTAATATTGCCGGAATCCAATTACTAACTTGGAGGAGGTATTTGAATTCCGGAAGAAAGCCAACTTATGAAAATATTCGTGGGCTTCACCCAAAATCAGTAATCAGATTCCTAATATTGTCGGAATCCAATTACTAACTTGGAGGAGGTATTTGAATTCCGGAAGAAAGCCAACTTCTGGAATCAGACTTCTCTGCCGAAATTACCCTGCCCCTTCATCACGATTCAACCACTAAAAGCACACTCATCCCCACCCCTTAATCAACTCACACCATCACACCACCTCCTAGACTGCCAGGACCCACCACCAATCGACCCCAACAGTTCCACCAACAAACTCCCGACAACCGCATATCCAATTCCAGTTGTGGAGAGACAAATGCAGAGGAGTATAAAGATAAAAGCAAACCTTATGATTTGCACACTGAGAATCGAATTGGGAAAATGGGAACTTGACTTACAGTTCGGTTTTTTTTTCCCAATTCGATTGCAGACATTTTTACAGATGGCATTGAGCGGCTAACAAAGGGTTGAGAAATCCAAGAATGGTTGCCAACAATGAGTTCATTGTTTACAACACGATGACCCAACAGGAGGAGATTTTCAGGCCGATAGAACAAGGTCAGGAGATGATCACAAAAGCCAATTGAGGATGCAGAGGGGAGAGAATAAAGAAGGTTGTGGTGGAAGTGGAACTATGAAGGTTCCAGAACCTCTCCCGACTCCCGCTATTTTGTTGGGTTTTTTAACTTTTTTTTGTCGCATGAGTTTTTTAATCATTAAAGAGTAATGAGTAAAAAGTGCAAAAAAAAAAAAAAAGGTAAAATAATTCAAGTTTTATTAAAAATAACAAACATGGGAATTGTTAGAATTTTAAATAAATTTTTTTTCTTACTATTATATATTATATTAAATTTTATTAAAAAGTATATAAAATATTTGATTTCGGACAAAGTATTTTAGTAATCATATTTATTTATATTCTAATTTTGCTAAATTAGTAAACAGTTTTATAAAATTAATGTCATTTATATTTCAAATTCAAAACATTTAAGTAAACAGTTTCAATAGAAATCTGATGATGACTCCACCTCATTTCAATTCTCTCTTCAATCCAATTTCTGCTCAATTCAATTCCTCTCAATTTGATTACGTATTAGTAAACGCACCTTTGCATTAATAGTTCGGAACGTTACGCCGTTTTACATATTCATGATTTTTATGAAAATATCATCTGGAGAATAACAATGATATTGCCCCTCTATTAGAAGACAAAATTAACCTGGAAAACGAGACAGTATCCGATTGCAGGTACAGGGAGAGGAAAAGGGCATTTTGGGATTTCCAAGGGGTTTCAGGGCTGCTTTTATTTGTCGGAGAAGCATAGGGGATAGGGCACCTAACCCTAAATTAGTAGTGGCCTTGGGAAAATATAAATAGGAAGGGAAGGGATGAATTATTGAGAGAGGAGTCCAGCCAAAAAGAATCAAAAGAGAAGCATAGAAAATCGCATACTTTGACATTCAAATACGAAGAACTCCAATAAAAAAGCAACACTATCACATTAATCTAATTAATTAATCCTAAATCTTTAATCATTCATCGCTAAACTCCCCAAAACTCAAACCCGACTGGCCCACCTCAAACAATTAAAATTACCCCCCACCAAATTAAAAGGCTCTGTAGCTTGATTCCTAAGCAAAAATAAAGAACAAAGAGATAAATATTACGATAAAAAGGAAATTAAAACCCTTTAAAAACCATAAAAATTAATAAATAAACATTTTCATTTAGAGAGAGTAGGGAACATACCTATATTTCGAGCGCAGAAATAAACCTACCAACCAAAAATATAACACTTGCTTCTCTTTTCTTTTCTGAGGCTCGAAAAATAAAAGAAATTAAAGAAATTTATAACTTTTTCCCTTTTTTTTAGACATTCGGACTCCAAAGGTTCCACAAACGAGAGTTAAAGAGGCCCAACACGTCCGGCAGCACTTTCCTTGCCAAACCCCTGTGGTTGCTCGCGGCCGCCGCCCTCAAAACCACCGCCATGTCATCCGCCGTGTCTGGCGGCGCTACCGCAACATCCACGCCCAAGTCTTCCACTTTCCCCTCATTTCCTTCTACCGCATCAGCCTTCTCAGGAGAACCTACGACAACAACGTCGATTTCAGGCAGCACAGGGGTAGTAGAGCTTTGAACAAACTCCGGTGAAGCTGGAGCGACGTTCTCTTCCAGAAAGATGTCGTTTTGGGCAGAAACATCGGGCGTTTTAGAGGAGTCCCGATGGCCCATCTTGTCTCTTCTCTTGCCCCTGGCGTTCCTCTTGGGCCGCTCGCCGTTGGCCAAGTGGTCCTCGAAGGCTTCGATGGCTTGGTGGATGAGCTCGCGGTTGGGGGAAGAGTCCCATTTGAACCAGTAGCTTCTGTAGCAGTCGAAGCAGTCGCAATCGAACATCGGAGGCTGGTGGGCGGCGGCCGCAGGGTTGCTGGCAGACTTATTAGAACCTTTTTTGGAAGTCTTTTTCTTGGGATCTTGGGCGGCGGGGATTGAAGTAGAAGAAGAAGTGTTGGGGGTGGTTTTCATGGAGCGGGTAATCAAGTAAGCGAGAACCTCGCGGTCCTCGAGAGAGAGGACGGAGGCCAGAGCTAGAATGGCAGCTGGAAGGAGCTGAAGAACGGAGAGAACATACCCGTCCGAGGAGGAGGAGGAGGCGGATGAGGAGGCGGAGGAGGAGAAGGGAGATGGGTGGACTTTGCCTTTGTTCTTTATCTTCATGGTGTTTGGTGTTTTGCCTATGAGAGAGTGGGGGATGCTGGTGAATAGGTAGAGGGATTTTTGGAAAGGCGAAAGCTTTAGAGATAGAGATTAGAGAGAGAGAGAGAGAGAGAGAGAGTAGTGATAGGGTTTTATTGTTGTTTTTATTTTTTATTTATTTTTTGTTGGGTTTTGAAAAGAAAGAGGGGGTGGGGCTGTGAAAAGGCAGGACAGCAGTCGCAGAGAGAGGTCACAGTTCCTTGTTTTTCAGGTTAACTATATTTTCTTTACGTGCGGGGGCGCGTACCCTTTAGGCATTTCTTCTTTTAGAGGAAATTACACCCAAACAATTCATAAATTTTAATTTCAAAAATGTGGTGAACCAGAAACACACACCCATTTGGTTATTGCAAATGTTATTTACTTGTAGTAGCCCATGAGACCCCGTTTGTTACATTGTATTGAAGGGAATGGCCTTCATTTGGAATCTGATATCATGCTTAGTAAGATTATAAGTGGTTGATTGTTCTAGTGGTTATAACATTATTCTTCAACTCAGTATGATTCAGGTTTAAATATATATATATATATTAGTGTAATATATCGCTTGTACAAAAAAAAAATACATTTGATGCAACTACTAAGATCAAATTATAATAGGCAAGACTCTACACCTTCATTATATATTCTTATCTAATTTTGCATGTAAATGCAGACTAAAATAAGAACACCTCACTAATGTGTAAAATTTAGTAATTTTTCTATTTTCGATGGATGAGTATCTGAAAATACATAATCATCTTTAACAATGAATTAATAATTTTGTTTAGTTAACCGTCAACGACCAAAAAGATAGTAAATTGTCATGTAACAACCAAAATGAGAAAGAGATAATAATTGAATTCTTAAATTTTTGTAAACCAACTTATGTTGTTGATTAACCAGCACGACGTGTACAATTTGAACGTTTATAACTAAAGCCAATTGATATAGTAAAAAACACGAAAATAAACCTAAAAGACACAGCATCTTAAAAAGTTACAAAAGAACATTTATTATATAAACGTGGATCACAAGGTAGTAATTCGCATCTTGCCTAAAGATGATCAAACATGTGGATCAACCCCATTTCCAAAACCATTCCAATTGTTCAATAGCTAGCCTAATATGTCCATGTCTATATATGAAACACGATAGTGGAACCAACAAAGTATGCAAACAATTAGGTTTTAGTTTTAACACAATCCGAGCAAATATGAAGGAGAGTTGGTTGCCACCATATCTCTGCGCGTGGGTTTTGAATAGCAGTTTGAATATGGAGGAAAAGGTTTATTTCCCAACATCTGAAATTTTGATCGTGTTTTGCCACAGAGCTATGTAGATAGCACATCACCTGCTGTAACTTTTACTTTTACGGGTAAAATAGTCATTTAACCCCCGTATGCAGGATAAGAACGAGCGGCCAACCGACCAAAAGTACTATGGGAGGCGCCAATTGAGGTGGAGAGGACTGTCAATCGGCTCAAACAGTTTGAGCTCGTACGGGATTCAGCTCGTGCTTGGGTCATCAAAACTCGGATCATGAAAGAACCAACCCCAACTTAGTTTGGCTTAATTAAGAAACAAGTTAAATTTGAGCATTAGTATTTTCGGCTCGTAAAGCTCATGAATAGCTCGAAATATTTTACAGCACAATGAGGGGTAGGCCGCAGGCTTGAGCTCGGCTTAGTTATTCAAGCTTGACAACTCTTGTACAGTACGTATTTGAGGCCTAAGTCCAATTAACTCAATTAACAAAACAAAAAATAAACATTTAGTACTACAGTTTTGTGTATTTCTCTTAACATATAGAAGAGCGGTTTTATATTTGAATATCGAAAATAGCAAGTTCGTAACTAACTTATTCCTCTAAGGTAATAAAAAATTTGAATGTAAAAGCTATTAAGACACAGATCGGTGTGAAACGATGGTGACTGGCCTCGGAAGAGTACAGTGAAGTTGTTGGTGCTGGTTCTGTTCATAAATATGCCACCCGAAAGGTGGCTCTTTGCCGCTTAGGAAGAATTTAGGTGTGTAATCAAGAAAGAATTATTCAATTTCAAATTCGACCCAAGATCAATTAAATGAGAAGTCGGCAAACAAGAGAGCAAGAGAGCAAGAGAGCAAGAGAAGAATTGGGATGCAAAAAATCCTGATCAAGATTGAGAAATACTACAAAGTTGTTTGCCTGAGTACAAGCACTAGTTTTGTGCTGCCCTGTGATGGAAACAATGAGATGATGACCAATGATGCCACTAAATTACTAATCATGATCATGAGTTGATTAATGACAACTATGATAGATTGTGGTATAATTATTTACCGGTGGACGTCAAGTTAATAACACGATGAACGACAATGTGATAGGATCTGACTTAGACGATGACTTTCTCTGTTAAAGAGTTATCTGTACCGAGATATCGTTGTTTTAGGAGTTGTTCTTGTAATATAGTTAATAACGGAAATAAATAAATCACAAATACAATTAACCACTAACCTTGTGCAGCCATTGCAGCAAACCAGAACTCTTCTACACTCAACACTACTGTATGCAATTAACAAACAATGGGGCTTGTTCTCTCTGTTTTGCGTAATCAGTGTGAATGCAAGGACTTCTATTATACATCCTTAGTGTTGGCATTTGATTAGGTTACTTTCCATCATGTAATCCTAATCAAATTGTATAAACAAATATCCTTATCACCACAAACCAAAGTTATCATATCAAAATAGTTAAACCTATTCATAACAGGATTACTTACAACTTTATATTCCATCAAATACATTCCCTGATAGCTTTACAAGTCTAGTCTATCCCAATCTCTTATGACTTCAATCCTTTAAGCACATGATAAACTAGGTGTGTAGCTCTAATTAGATTATAGTTGTTGCCTCACAAATTGCTAAAAACCAAGTTAACCTATCCAAGTGAGATACACCCTATGTTTTTTTTTAATGAAATACTTACGGAAGGTTAGATTTCGACCTCAATTGTTGATGAGGCTCACACAGGAATTGAATTAATAATTTCTTGCCATGAGGGTCACAATGAAAAAATGATGTCACAACAGTGTTTTTTTTAATTTTTTTTTATTGGCCTATATCGTTTTTGGTTCACTTAAATTGTAACAGTCAACTGAAATGCGTTAGGTATACTCCTAACTGCAATTACGCCGGCCCCCCTCTGTGTTGAGAACTCGAGTTGATGGTGATAGTCGCCCACGCACCATGAGTAGTGTTGAAGGAGCTCAAGCATCTCCAATGGGTGAGGCAAATGCAAACTCCGATAGCTTATGCGGCCGTTTATTTTAGCATTTGCCTAAAAAAAACTAGTGACTCCAAAGGATAAGACAATTGGTGAGGCAAATGCTCAGAAAAAATCACTTTTGCGTATATAGGTGGTGCGATCCGAATTGCCTAAACTTTTTCACGATGCAAAAAGTTTTATCAAACCTTCTTTGGAGATGTACACATCCTCCTATTTACGGCTTCATGCCTACTTCCCGAGGTTTTGGGGCTTAATGCTATAGATCTTCTCATAAAATTCATCTACTTACTCACTGTCATTCGCAGCGGATCTGTTGGTATTCTCCTTGTTGTCAGTCGCTTGCTGTGTATTTGGCTATCGTCTCCGACCCACAAACTTGTTATCGCCCATCTTAGGACTCCACTGTCGCTTTGTCTTAGACCATTCTCTCAATTCAGCTCGCCTTGACGCACTGATATACGGTGTTTTTATTCCCTTCAAGTGGTTGGTCGTCGATGATTTTCGGGCGTTCACGACAAATATGATATTTCCCTCCAGTTTCAAGGATTTTTGTTTTGTGAATCAAATTTTACTTGTTGCATAAGGTTGTCCTTTCGGACTTTGTTGGATGAACTGGCCACCCGACTTACCAAAAATCGAAACAATTACTCGCATGTGATCTTCCACGTTATGTTGTTAAAAGGGATTCTTTAACTCGTTACGGTCACTTGATCTACTGGCAATCGATCTCCCTGCATTGAAAGACACTTGAATAACAACAAACTTGCAATAAATTCTGTTGGTAGACTGCAATACAAATTGGAACTTTAAAATGAACGATTTTTGCACTTCTACTTGGATATCTACCTCGGCCAGTGAGACAACATTAACAAACGTTAAACAAAGCAAACTGATGTGATGATATAGATCGGTGATCCATGCATACAGGAGCAGCATTACACATACCCATTTTCAAGGAAACCCGAACATCATACTACACGACTGAGGGAGAAGTCCAAATTCAATCACTTTTCTTATCCGCAACTGGTTCCAACTTATTTGCTGCTGCGGAGCGCTTGTCCTCTACACTCTTGGACTCAAGTTCATCCCTCTCCTTGAAGTATCTCTCAAACGCCCTCGGAAGGAATCGAGGAATCAAAAACCCGAATAGGTTGATCGAGAAATATATGAAGTTGGCTACAGCCAGGCTCCTCCCAAACCAAAACCATGCAACATCCTACAACAACATAACATCAATCAGTAAACATTAGCCAATGCACTAAACAAGAAAATTAATTAAGAACCAAATGTCCAAAACAAGAGAAAATCCTATGTGGAGATGTTCCTCCTACGTGTAAGTGCATAATGGCACAACAACGTAGTTATAAGATGTTCCTATCACGTTTTGAGCATGCGCCATCATATAATAGTCACATCTTTTAACTGTAAGAATGGTCATGTGGCAAGAACGTACGAGATAAGTTTTTCTCCCAAAACGCAAGCACTATAATTTACCTTAAACTGTGCATTGGCTGGCAGAGTTTTGTTAAGCCAAACATCTTTCATCCAATCAAGGATGACAAAGATTCTCCTGACAGTGTAAAGCAATGGGACCAATGCCCTCACCGGCGGAGAAAACAGCGACAACCCGCTAATCACATTCTCAGTGAGAATCTGAAACGAGAGCAAGAACAAGTGAGGCGTTGCCGAGCGGACAGCGTGCTCATCGCCCCGCGCAAAGCCACCCAATACGTATGCAAGCGGCAAGAAGAGCCCGATTGTGGTTCCCGCAACCACGTAAAACCTGAAGAATCTGCTGCCTTGGAAAATCTCCCGAGAGCTAGAGCTGACGGGACCATGAGAAGGGAAGGCCAAGCGCGACAGAGCCAAGAGATATGCGGAGGCAAAGGCCGGGAAGATCAAATCAAAAAGCGGGACAAGGCCGCTGACTGAGAAAACCATGATGAAGGCCACGAGTTGGAGCTCTATTACTCGCAATGAGCCCATTACCGCCAACAGCAGGCTGCTGGTGCTGTTGGCGGTGGAGCGGTTTGTCTTGGGGTTTGGATCCAGGGGCTGTAGTGGTTGTGTCGGGCTCTGATCTAGGAGCCACAGCAAGGGACACACCTGACATGTCTTTTTCTTTATCGAGATGTCAATAAATTTTGTTGTCAAAAGGTGATTAATTGGGTACTAATCAACCTAGCTAGATAATACAAGGGTTAATTAGTGTCGTACCTGAAAAGAAAAAAGCCAAACATAAACAAAAGAGAACTAAATCATCTGAATCAAACATATCCAAGGTGAAAAATATTTGACAATATTAATCATACCAGTTTAAATTGTTCAAACTAGCAAGGATTTAACTTGGTTAATCTTAATCATTATTTTTCTAAACATAGGATTTAACTCGATTAATCGTTGATCTCCATGAAACTTGTTTAATCATTAATGTTAGATCGGATAAACAAAAGCAAATGAAATGCAAATATACAAATTAACTGGCTACAACAACAACAAAATTTTACCCAGAAAAAGAATGAAAATTATTCTTTGAAATTAATGAAAACTGAAACTTACTGAGAGAGAGAGAAAGAGATCTAACTGAAGGTACGACAGACAGATCAGTGAGAAGGAAAGCAAACGAAATGAATAGTTGAAAGCCAAAACGAAAGGGTCTCCGAATGAAAAGACGAAGGAAACGGTGAGAGCAACTATGTGAAAGTTTACACTGCAGAGTATCCTCTTGTGTTTTTACGTGTAGTAACACCGTCAAGACACTTGGCTGCATTGCCGACGTGAGTCAGTGAAGGATTAACACGTATCGGAAAATACGGCCATGTGGCCGTTTGGATAAATCGGTGTGGGACGATCTTTCTTTTCGTATTTTTCTCCGTCTTTGCGGTACCATAGGCCCAAGCCCAACATAACAATTAGCTGGGATTAATAAGTTCGACCAGTATGGTGGATCCGATTCTGATCCATATCAAATCCGAAAGCGAAGTAATTAACAAAATATGAATCGAGATTTTTAATTTGATGATCCCAAAATTTGATAATTCAATTATAAATAGATAGTGATGTTGATTAGAGTTTATATGTTTTGTTTTATGGTTAAGTTTAACTATTTAATTTTTGGGTGATTCTTAATTGGTCTTAATCTTTCATAATATTTTAAATAACTATCTAAAGTTTCTAAAACGACACATTTTAGCTAAGCACAATTACGGTTTAACTTGGCTAAAAGAGGTCGATTTGGGGGATTAAAGCTCCAAAGGTAGAGATTAGTGAAAACCAACTTTTTGTATTTGTCCACATCATCATTTAATGTTGGTAACGTCATAACTTAATGTTGGTAAAATTTTCAATTAACGCCGATGACCTAACAAATGTCTAATTTTAACTTTAGGTGGTTATTTCGAATGTTTTAAAAGTTTAGACAAGACTATGTTGTCTATTATACAACATGAAACCTTTTAGTGTCATTTGGTACACGGTCTAGTAGTTATTTATTCTTACTAATTGTTTATTTATTTGATTGATGTTGTGGTGTATTGCTAGCTAGTATCTAATTGGAAGTGTAGTGACATTCTTCTCCATTTGTAACTAGTAGGTTTTAGATTTGACCATCGTAAAAGGCGAGTTCGATACAAATTTGTTATGATTGGCCATTGTGTATTTAGTTTGAATTCTCCACTTCTTTTTGTAAATATATCGTTTTAAAAGTTGAGAAATCGCTTTTGGATCTTAAATACCTGATTTTATTTTTATCCTTTTGTTGTGTAATGTATGAAAATTAAGAATTAATGCACATATATACTAGCAAATCATTTCAGGATTACAGGGGAAGATTTTAAGGAATCAGACGATTAATTCTTGTTTTGAATTGCCCAGTTACAGAATTTCACTTGATTCCTGTTACAAACTGTCCTTTGATTAAATAGCAAAAAACGAAGACAGTGAAGAGAAGAAAGAGATCAGCAATTTAGAATATCATGGAGGCCTTTACTTGGCTAAAGAGAAAAGGGTTTGGGACAGCTGACCAAGTCCCCTTAAGAGAGGAGGTTTTCTCTCTTTGCCATGCACGAAAACATGCATGACTAGTGCTGCTTTCGATGCATATCAATTTAATTTGTGTAGCCAGCTAGTTTCATATATAATTTACTTTTTTTTTTTTTTTTGTTATAATTTGTTTTAGGTTATGTGCCTGCTTGCTGAGCTAGAATTCAACATGCACTGTGGACATTGTGCAGATGATGTCAAGAAATGCTGCAGCAAGACGAAAGGTAAAACATCTGACTTCAATATCCAATGTTTTACGTATAGCATGCATTCAAGTTGAAAAAAGTTAAATATGTCACTCCCTGCCTCTAAATTTTTTTCTCTGTCAGGAGTTGAAAGTGTTGAGGTTGATCAGGTGAACAAAGTAGTGACAGTGGAAGGAAGATTTCGTCATAGAAAGCTTCTCAAATGCCTCCGAAGGGCTAACAAGATTGTTAAAGTAAAGAGGTTGGTTACGGAAGAAAGACAAGGACAATATGTGATGCAGAACAATTAGCAGGCTAGATTATGCAAGAGTTCCATACGTATGTAAGCCCAAGAAAAATAGGTTTTACGTTTTCTAAAATAAGGACCTTGAGTATGATTTGAGCACTTAATAGCGGGGCGATCAAAATTACAGCTCTTACGTGACATATGAGTTTTCCCTAATGGCAATTACTAGGTCAAATCTGCATTTTAAGACTTGGAGAGAATTTTGGGTATTTTTTTAATTATGTAAGCTGTAATCGAACCATCTTACTTTTATCAAATAAAGCATAGGTTCGAATAATTTCTGAATTGCGGTTGATTTGCTCTATTATTCAATTGTTTTCATGGGTTAATAGGCAGGCTCCAAGATTTCAGAGGCACTTTGCAAAAATTAAAATGGGCCTTTTTACGTGCAAGACATTTTTTTTTGGTGTTTAAAACCTTTTTTTTGTTTCCTTTTATGGTATATTTGTAAGTACGAAACTTACTTAGTATGAAAGTCAGCTTTATAACACAATATCGTCTACTGAACAATAGATATAGACGAGTTTTAAGAAACGTATATGTCAAAGAAATGAAGTTTTTAACTAAGAGGAAAGTGTATAAAAAGATACAGTATTCTCCAAAATAAAAAGTAACTTGGATATTTTTCAAATTTGTACATAATCAAGTTATGCATACAGAAATTTTCTTGGAATATAGAGAACTAATATATATAATTAAAAGTTGGGGCCCTTGCAGATGGGATCCCTGTGCAGCTGCTCCTTTGCCATTCCCCCAAAGCCGCCACTAGGCTTCATATTGAAGATGAAGTTTGCAACTTTGCACACAAGGAGGATAAAGAAGATGAGCCAAAGCAGGAATTAATAGATTAAAATGCTTATGTAAATGAAATTATTTTCAAGAAACATCAACAGTATGAAGGAAATTGCGTGTACTGATTTTAGACAAGAAAAATTTGAATGAGGGAGGAAGGGGAATGATAAGATACATAAGACATCAAGAATTACATGCAAGCACTATTGAGATGAGATGTTAATGCCAGATTACATGTGATTGCACAATTAATTCTAAATTTTGATTTTACGTGCTAAGAAGATCCATATTTCAATGCCATACCAATTGTGCCAAACTAATTACTGATTTTTCATTAATTTTACAGAAACTGACATTGTTAAATAGGTAAAAAAAAAAAAAGACAGAAACAGGAAACATACAACTGAAAAGTAGAAAGAAGTAAAAGATCAAGAGTTTGGAAGCATGAAGAAGTGGTTACCCAAAAGAAAAAGCACTTGGGATCGTGCTGATGAAAAAGTACCGCAATTTTGCAAACAGAAAATTATAAGTAGCTTCGGTAACAATTGAACCACACAAATTTTTTATATTTCAAGTGTCTACTCTGATTGCTTCCTAATTTATTTTTCTAGGTTATTATACGTGCGCTGATAAAAATCAACCTGCACTGTAAATGTTGTATGAAAGATATCAGGAAAGCATGCATGAAAGCGGAAGGTAATTTATGCATCAATTTACACACACACACACTTCTGAAATTTAATTTCAGAAGTTGTCAGTCCTACCTTTTGAATTTTTTTTTGTCCTATGTCTCAGGAGTGGAAAGTGTCGAGTTCGGACATTATCAGAGGACAGCCGGTCCGACTTCTGTTTATGTAAAAATAGCCGAGGTTGATTACGCGAACCCATCACATGTACTGTTTGATCATCACTATAAACCTTTTGTGAAGACAGCAGCTCTGGTGAAAGGAAATTTTAGTATTAAAGAGGTTCTCAAACGCCTTTGGGATCATGCTACCAAGAAAGGTGAAATTTTGGAGTCATTTGAGAAAAAAGATGAACAAGATGCGACTCCCAAAGAAACAGGAGAAACTGGCTCCAGCCAAGGAGACGACGACGGTGAAGAATATCTGACTCCCAAAGGATCAGAAACTGGCTCCAGCGAAGGAAACCAAGAAGATGATGATCACTTTAGCGAAGCCGGAGCAGTTTCAAGTCATGGACATCATGACTAGATTTACTTATTTATTTATTCTTACAAAATAACTTTTATGTTCTGGTGTAATTTTTTTTTTCAAAAATATTATTCATTGAATAAAGAAGATTAATATAGGATGATGTTCTTCACACACCTCTTTTTACATGTATGTTACCGTTCACAATACCTTACATTCCCTCTATTCCGGGCACTCCCAAATCATGACATCTCCATTCCATATATGGAAGTAAAAATAACTTTAATATAGAATGGTATTATCCACACACCTCTTTTTACCTGTCACACATTTCATGTTAATTTCTATCATTGAATTTTCTTCAATTTATTCGATCTAAGAGCCAAAAATTAATAGGAACATGTAAAGGTAAGAAGAGGTGTGTGCATAACACCATCCTTAATATATATGAAAGAGATTTGTTTTGGTTTAAGGCCTTAGCTTATTTGAATTTCACTTTGTAATCCTAACTATTCTTTTTTTCGGCAACATGGAAGAAAAAGAGAAAAGAAACACTAAGTAATAACTAGTTTAACTCTAACACCTCACAGTAGTCAATGAAAAGAGTTTGAACTAAACAGGAAAGAGGCTCTGCAAGCTCTTGAAATCCATCCTGCCATTAAACCTAGTTGGCTAACTCGTCAGCTGGAAAATGACTCTCTCTATGAACATGTTACAAATTGCAACTCTAGTTCTCTTTAATCAAACTTCTGCACTCTGAGACAAGACCATAGTGGGGATGATTAAGGCTAGAAGAAACCATGAATGAGAGAGACCACCAAAGCAGAATCAACCTCCACAATGTGATAAAGACAAATTTCTAGCTTTAACAAAATATTCATCATTCGCAAGATAACTTTTTTCTTCTATTTCTCTTAACCAATTTATAGGCAACTCAATGACCTGATCATTACAGATAGCCTAACTTTTAAAAGAGCAATACTGCTAATGGAAAAAGAAGCATAAGTGGACTAGATTTTTATTTTTATTTTTATTTTTTTTAAGCCTAAATAATCCAATGACTGGAAATATATCCATATATAAGTCCAATTAAGAATCCAGGTAACAGAAACTCATTTGCACTAAAACCCAATCACTTTCCCTGCAGAGATCATCTATTTTTGGTATAATGGTAGTCCAAGATAACCATGGAATCAAAATGTTTATTTTCTGAAATTGTTCTCAAGTTTGTTTAAGCAAGGCACATAATTAATTATAATTAAAACCAGATGCATGAAACAATGTAATTTATATCTAACATCTTGAAACCCCTCACATTGTATGAGTTTTTCATGTTGCTTGCTTGTGATTGAGTTTTGCTTTTCTAATTTATATTGTATATATGCTGAATTTTTTGTGTAATTTTGTTTTGGTTTAGAGGAAAGATAATCAGAACATCCAAAATGAACAGAAAAACCAAGGCGAGGCAGAGCTTAATGGAGAAAAAAAGGGAAAGAAAGAAAATGAGAAGAATAATAATACTCAGTCCAGCAAAGAAATTGTACTGAAAGCACTTACGCATTGTGAAGGATGCAAAGGTAAGGTTATCAAATGCTTCAGAGGTCTTGAAGGTAATTTCCAATTATTTCTTGTAGGTGTTTGGTTGGATACATCTTTAATGTTTACATGCATATATAATTTTTGTAAATTCGTTAGGCATCGAAGATGTTGTGGTTGATTACGCGAATCATAGAGTGCTTGTTAAGGGGAAAAAGGGCCGACCCCTTGAAGGTTTTAGAGAGATTGCAGAAGAAGTACAGCAGTTGTGTTGAACTTATCTCCCCAAAATCGAAGCCTGAAAACAAAGAGAAAAAAGAGCCCCAAAAGCGAGAAAAGGTATGTTATTACGGTCATGCATTCTTCGCGTTAGTGCACAAAAAATTTGTAAAATATTCAGTTTCGAATGCATATTATTTTAACATGTGAGTGAAAAAACCGTTACATTAAGCATTTTCATTTCTTGCCATGACATCAATCCTAGTGTTGGTATTGCAAATTAGTGCAGGCTCAGGTGGAAGTTGTGGTGTTGAAAATGTTGATGCATTGAAGATTGCGCAAATGATATTAAGAAAGACTTGGCGAAAATGCAGGGGCAAAAAATAAGGAAAACTAACGAAAATTGTTTAAAATTTTGAGTTTTAATGATAATGACATAATAAAAAGTAAAATGAAAAATATTAGAATTGACTTTTTAATATAAAAATATAATTTTTCATTAAAGTAAACAGTACCGAAAACTTTTCGTTAAAATTTCCAATAAACATCCTAATGTGATTCTTATTTCTCTTGAAATTCGTTGACAGAGAGGGGAACAGTTGATCCACCAAAGCTGCTAGAATACATTAAAAAGTGAAGCAAGAACTGAGGGACAAGGGCAAGAAAAAATAATAATAAAAAAAAATAGAAAGGGAAAGTATATTCTAATGGAGAAGGATTGTCTGCCCTTCTACTTTCGGTGCTCTCCTGTGCACTTCTGTTTTGTGTGGTCACAGTTAAGCCACGTCAACGTTTTATATTGTTTTTTTTTATAAAGATAATAAGACAAAAATGAATAATAATTTGGCTTAATCGTGACCACACAAATAAGAGAACACGAGAGAGCACTGGAAGTGGAAGGGCAAACAATTCTTGTCCTATTCTAATATCCTCCCCAGTTCTCAGCGCAATATATTTATCCCAATCGTTTAGTGATGATAACCCTTTTGCATGTTCCATTATGTAAAACTTTTCAAGATTATAATTGAGATGGATTAAATAAGAGAAAATTGTAACAATAATATATTAACTTTAACTTAATTAAAGAAATAGTCTTTGAATTAAATATCTATTATCATTGGTCCCTTAATTCATAAAAATGTGCAGCTATAGTCATGTTCGTTAACTTTGTCAGGATATTGTCAATATAAGTTATGTTGAAAGGACCATTGCTACAATTGAATTACAGTTGAGGGACCATTACTCCAATTGAGTTAAAGTTAAGTGACTATTTTTGCAGTTGGGTTAAAGTTGATGGATCATTGCTACAAATTTTCTCATTTAGTTTTCTATATTTTCCCCTTGATTCAGCCTCATGCATGTGACACATGACTCATTTTGACAGAAGTTCTAATAGAGTTAAAGAAAATGACTATAGCTGCACGTTTTGAGGAGTTAAGAGACCAATGATTATGAATTTTTAATTGAGGGACCATTACTCGAATTGAGTTAAAGTTGAGGGACCATTGTTACAATTTCCTCATTAAATAATTTCATAAATGTTAACTTCTTCATTCTTTTTTATATATTACTAATGTCATACAATTTTACGCTGAAATATAAACGCAACATAAGAAATAATTATCAAATAACGGTATGGCTAACGCACTGAAAAACTTAATATACATTAATCAGAATCAGAATTTTTTTGGTCAGTGTTATAAAGGTTACCATAAAAAATTTACCAGAAATGTTCTTGATAAAATGGTAAGCAACAAAAATTGAAATTTGATACCATAATTGATAAAATTTGATTGCCCAACTTATTTACCGTTCTTGCGCCACCAACCCATCACAGTCACCAACCGCGCCAAGCAACGGTGTTATAAAAAAATATAAAAGTAAAAATAAAATAATAAAGGAGAGGCAGGCAATGGACGAAATAATGAATACAGGTCCTTTTCGGATCTAAAAAAGTGAAACTTAAGGATTAAATAATCTGAACCGTTTAAATTTGATTCAACGGTTATTATTATTATAATTTTTAAATAAACCTTATATTTATAACTCGTTTGATCAAATTTTAACGATCCAGATCATTTCATCTTTAAACTCCATTTTTTAAGATTTGGAGAGGATTTGTACTCCGAAATAATAACCGTTGTAAAAACACGAACAGAGCTATGCCACGTCGTTAATGGACCGTTACTATCAAGATGAACAAGTCTACTGGGTCCCACTAAACTGTAAGCTGAGTTGGCGAAATATTAGTGGTTGGACCACAATGACGGGGACCTCATTGGTCATCCACACGATTACACCAACCCCAATAAACATTGGAATTTCGGAGCAGCATATGCCACCTAACACCAACGTCTAGCGGGCGAATATTTCCATATAAATTATAATTTATATTTCCATATAAAATTAAATCTGGATCATGCTTGGGCTTGGCGCACGTTCACGCACCGGCTCACGTTAGTACCTCACCCTCGGTCAGCATATCCCTTGAACGCGTCAGATTTTTCCACGTGTTGGAATTGTCCCGCGCTTCATAAATCTATCCGTTAACCATCCTGTCTCTCTCTCTCTCTTCTTTCTCCTCTCTCTCTCTCTCTTTCGTCTGCAACTTCCGTTGGAGAGGAAGAGAAAGAGGATCGCAAAAAATAAGTAAATAAAAATAAAGAAAAAAGATTGAAATTTTTTTCAAAAAGAAAAGGGAGAAGTTAGGAAATGGGGAAACTATTGTGCGATTCGACCGCCGTCGCGGAGACATTTCAAAGCCCTTCGCCGACGGTGCCGTGGAGGGACCCACCCAAGGCGTCGCCGCTTGACGAGGACACAATCTCGGCCGTAGATCTGGTTGAGCAGTCGACCGACGACGCCGCATGGGACAGTGTGGTGGGCCTGGAGGAGCAGCAGAGACGGCACCTCCAGAGGCTGCATACGAAGGGGGTGCTCTGGAAGCTCCCGGAGGATCACGACTCGTCGAAATCCGACTCTATAATGCCGCAGAAGTCGATGGTCTTCAGACTCTCGCACGGCGGCGAGGTGTCGTCCGACGGAAATTGCCTGTTCACGGCGTCGCAGAAGGCGATGAGGGTGGCGCGTGAGCTGGATGCGCGGGAGCTGAGGAGGCTGACGGTGCGGAGGTTCACGGAGGACTATGGATCTGCGGCCGCGGAGGAGAAGCGGGTGATAGACGACGCCATTCGACATATGTACGCGCCTGATCTGAAGGCGGGGTGGGGGATACATGTGATTCAGGAGGTCAAGTTGCTGGCCAAGAAAGACGAGCGCGTGAGTCTGGACTCCGCCATTGACGAGCTTCTTCAGCTCGGCATGCAGAGGTAACAGTTCCGCAGATCTGTTCTTTTTCATTACCTTGAAATCTAAATTTTTAATCTTGAAATTTAATAAAATAAAATAAAAATTCATTTCTTTAGAGGCGTAAGAACAAAAATTTGATTTATTCTTAAAATTTAATACATTTTATTCAGATTAAATACAAGAGTTTGATTTCCCTACGTTTAGATCTGAAAATTTGATTTCTTGTCTGAAAGTTTGATTTTTTGTGGGAAAATAATGAACACATGACTGTATATTAAGGTTGATTAACAGACATTGGTATGTTCTTGTTAAATTTCAGTTCTTGGAAAGATTTATGTTGTCGGGTTCGATTGTCTTATTATTTCTTGTGTTTTGTTCTCGTTTTTGTTGAATGTAGGGAGCTGGCAGCAGAGTCCATTTACAAGGAGAGATGTATCCCGGTGATTGATGGACAAAGTTGGGCCAAATACATGTCGATCTCTGGTTCACCGGATGATGAATACGACATCATCACATTGCAATACACAGAGGAAGGTTTATTAACCATCGACGAAAACAGAGTAGGTCATGCTGCAGCTTTCGGAGATGACATTGCAATTGAGTGTCTTGCCACAGAGTTTAAGCGAGAGATTTATGTGGTAAGGACAAGGAATGATTTTGATTGTTGCTCTTCATTTTTTTTATTTTGCAATGTGTATGAGTGCAATTTCACATCATTATTGGTATAATTTTATACGTGTTTGTATATCACCTCTTCTCTTATGATGTTAATTTTGTTGAATTTTTCGAAGTAGTGGGAGTTACTCTTAGTTTCTAAACGTAATATTGAGTAAATGCTGAGTTCGAAAGCATGAGTGTCTAAAATAGTCTCACTCTAAAATCATTGAGTAAATGATTATTTCAAAAGTACAACTGTATTAAGATTTATTGCACCAATTCCTGGGAAAGCTGAGTTGATATTTGAAGACTCTGCATTTTCCTACATCTTAATTTTTAAGATTTTAGCGTGGAATCATCAACACTTGTTTCTGTTTTGAGTCCAAAAGCTACCGCCCGCCTTGTTGGTGTTCTATATGCTGCTGTAGGCAGTAAAAGATAGTTATTCTCGGTTCTAGTATTAGTACACTGGCTAAACCTGTTTTTTATGCCCTTGATAATTTTTCCATTTTATGTCAACATCGGGATACTGGCGAGTATAGATTGGTGAAGTTTTTGAGCATGAACCAGATTATTCATCGTCTTACGAAGCATTCTTGTCTGAAACTCATCTTCTTACAGGTTCAAGCACATGGTTCGGATGCGATGGTTGATGAAGAGAATTGCGTTTTCTTCCTTCCCCACCGACCAAGGAGTCAAATTTGTGAACTTCCCTTCTTTCTTTTCATGAAAGGAACAGGTAAAGAAAAGAAGGATCTTTGGCTGAAAATACATTTCTAGGCAGTTGATTAATTTTGTTCATTGCCACTCTCAGCCTACCTATAATTCTGAACATTTATTGTACAGGTTGGTGTGGCGCCGGAGCTGATCACTACGAACCCCTCATTGCCCATCCTTTGTCATTAATTTCCCAGGAGAAGGTCGCGGTGGTACTCTGATGAGGGCCAGGGCCGTCCTGCAGTTTTGTGGCTTTAGAGAGATTGGCTAGAAGTAGTTGTTCTATTTATTCGTTCCCTTAGTGTTTGGCATGCAATCTAACTCTCCCGATTCTTCTCTGAATCGTCACAAGGAGAATTTGATTGCTTAGCATTCAATTTTTTGTTAGCTAGAATCAATCGGTTATCTTCGACTGCAAGTTGCAGGCTTTGTTCCTGCATTTGAGCCACCCTCTAGTAGCATTCGCAATGGTTTTACCGGCTTTTGTTGTTGTCGTAGTTGAGTGTTTTCATTTCCTTTCGGGTGGATATTTAGCTCGACGCTATTTCGTCCAAGCTGAAGTAGTAGTCCCTTTCTGTTGTATCTTAAGCTGGCTTTTATCATTTGAATGAAAGAATTGACTCCCATTTGTTCTCTCTTCTTTCTGGGTTTACTTTAATGCTTCAAAAATTCTGAGAAAATGTAGTTCTCTATGCAACTCTGCTTTGAGGAGCCTTTTGTGCCATTAAGCACGCGTTTAAAGAATTCGGAACCTTTTTGCGCAAATTTGTTTAACGTGATTTCTTGTGACCAAAGAATGACAAAAGAAAAGAGTTCTCAGTTCCCATGGCTTTTTTCATAAAAGTGATGGTGATGTAGTGCAACACGAAAATAATGTGAGTATTTTATATTAATTCTGAGGTGAAGGTAGTTTACTTGTTTGGTGTAAAAGGTTAGGGATTTTAATCAGATTTATCTCTAGTGAAATGATTTTCGTCTTTGAACTCGATTTTCTTTTTTGTTCATTTGTCACACATAGGTATAAGTGAATTAAAGATAACGATTTCCAAAATGCAGTCAGGAATAAGATAACAAGAGGTTTTAATAAAAAATGTGAGGAAGTACGAAATTTTTCGATGTTCGACTCATCACTCATTTCAATTTTCTTTTACATCACAAATTTTAGTTTGGTTTGTTCAATATTATGGAGATATTTTTGGGGCGAGGAGATTCAAACTCGAAATCTTAGGACCTCAAGCCCCCTAAACTCAAGACTTCAGTGCCTCTTGCTTAAAATAGAATGCTCTTAACTAGTTGAGCTACAAACTCATTGCTATGAAGATTTTCTTTTATAGTGAGTAGTTTCTTAGATTTATTGAAGTAAAAAGGTAATATGGTCTTTAGATTTATTGAAGTAAAAAAGTAATATGGTACCCCTTTTTCATTTAAGTGATTATTAAACTAAGGACATGGTTGGTGAAGAATTAGAGTTATTAAAGTTTTTATCAATCTCTGTGTCGGATGCATTTGCAACAAAACGTAAGTCGGTACAAACTACATATGAAAAGATGATGGAAAACAGCTTAAGTTTGATCAAATACATGTTATTATATTCCAAGTTGATAGAAGAAAACAATTAAGACCCTTGTTAAGTTTGCTGCATGCTGCATAATCTCCACTCTCTCCTTCTCACTCTCCGTGTTTGAGAGGTAACAAGTGGAAGTTCTTTTAGGATATTGATGGTTACACATTTATTTTTACCTCTCGTACATTTTTGTAAATTTTTTGCCATTGATCTTTTTCAATTCATCTAAATCGATGGCCGGAAATTGAGAAGGTGTGTGAGAGAACTAAAAATAAGTATGTGGATAATATTGTCCTTCTTTTATAGGGAAATCTGTTAGATAGTCCATTTGGTAAAAAAACAACTGCCTTTATTGCATTTGCTTTCTTGGAATATTTTTTGGTGTTATGAAGTATTCTATATGTTTCGCAATTAAATCTTATTTATTGTATCATTGATCAAACATTTAACGGTTAAATATTTTGGAGTATACTAAAAAATCTCTCACTTTCAAGTAAAAGTTTTATTCAATTTAGAAGATTATAAATAAATAGTGTGCATATATAGATAAAAAAAGGTGTAAAGAAATCAGTTAGTGTTATAATATTATGAGCCATTCAATGTGTGGATGGCCAACCCACTACATTCCACTCATCCCACTCAACATGTCCTTCCACTAGGAGCTGCCACTGCTTGCTTTTGGTGCTCCTACTTTGCCTATAAATCAAAGGAGATACGAAGAGAATAAAAAAGATAGAAGAAAAAAAAATGGAAGAAAGAAGCCAGAAGGCTTATGGCAGAGAGAGGAAAAATAGAGGAGAGAATAGAGAGAGTTATATTTGTAATCTTATTATTTCAGATTATAATGAAAGCACCACTACTGCCCCGAGGACGTACTCCAATCATACTGACTGTAGAGGAACCTCGTAAATTTTGTGTCTTGTTTATTTATTTCATTGCACACACCGTCAATTTTACAACACGTTATCAGCACGAGAAGTTCTCGTGTCAATGGAAAGCACAATGCCACAAATCCTGTTCACCTATGTTGCCTGGAATCTCACAGATAAGAAAATCTTTTCATTTCATCATAAAATCTTTGTACTACTGAGTTACAAACACTCTTGGCTCCAAAATTTATGGGAACCATTTCAATTTTTTTGAAACTCACCAAAGGAGGAACACCAATTGGAACTTAGTTTTACTATTATTTCTTGGATAACTAAAATGACTTCGAACTGTGAAATAATAATAAAAGTAAAAGGGATGAAATAAAAGAAAATGGCAGACCAAGAAAAAGAAAAAAGCAAAAGATAAGGACTTAATCATTGCATTTTCTGTTTTGGCTTATTTATGTACATGATGTTGGTTTAAAGCCCTATCACAAGTTTTATTTATTTAAAGCAGTTTATTTACAGTGGGTAGAATTATTACCCTTTGCTTTAAAGCTTTGATATTTATGTGAACGGTGCTGAATCAAAGCCCTTGTCACAAGCCTTATTTACTTAAAAACAATTTATTTACCATGGTTGGAATTACATATTGCTTTAATTTATTTTTTGTTACGATGAGTACATACTGGACCCAAAGTTCCTTGATCAGATAAGAACCTGAAGTTTCTTGATCCTTATCACATAAAATGATTAGACCTGAAGTTCCATCATGCAAAAAGATCAGGAATGAAGTCCCTAGATCCTCAAGATCGGACATGAAGTTTTTTGATAAATACCTTAAGTTTGAAGAGCCAAAGTGCCACAACTTAATTGTAAGGCCATGAGAGTCCCAATTCATAGGCTATTAAATAAAGACCAGAAGTTCCTTGATGTATGATACATTTTGCTGGAGAGTTTACATCTCGAAGTTTTGATGATTATTGCATGTCATCGGGCATTGATGTTGAACACCATGTTCCTCATGTTCATACTCAAAATGATTTAGCAAAGACATTTATTAAGCAGATGAAATTGATTACCTGCACTCTGCTCATGAAAACAAGATTGCAAGTTTTCTACATGTGAACATATCATTATACATAATTCACTATTAAGTTTGGTTGAGACCAGTTACCAACCATCAATATTTCTCAGTACAACTCGTGTTTGGGCACCAGCCAAACATTACATATGTATGAGTTTTTTATTATGTTATCTAAGTACCTATTTCACTGCCACAATGTACTAAAAATGAGGTCTGAAGCAAACTAGAAATTTATGTTGAATTTGATTCACCATCTATCATTCAACATTTGGAATCCTTGACTGGGGATATGTTTACCGCACGACTTGCAGACTATGATTTTGATAAGACAGTTTTCCTGCCGTTAGGGAAAGAAAATAACATCATTCCAGAAGAATGATAAGAAAATATCATTCCAGAAGAATGATGAAAAAAGACCGTTCCAGAAGAACGATGAGAATTTGTCTTATTTTGATTCATGAAACAATCAATATAAAAACGAAGTGCGAATAATTGAATGATACAATGATATGCAAATCAAATGCTAGATGCATTTAATGATGCAACGAAAGTAATAAAATCACAAATACTTGCAGCGAATGTGCCTACATGAATTGATGTTCCTGTTGGACAAAATAATGTGGTAGCAAATCTGTTACACGCCTGAAGCATGGCAGACCCTTAGATTCAAAAGGTTCAGTACTTCGAAAGAAGAAGAATATGACACTACTGAACTATTGCATTCCCAAAGCATAACTGTTGCATACCGGAAGCATGACAGTCGCCGTATGGATACATGTCCCTAAAAAGGACAATTCGCGGACATGAGAATGTTGATGTCTCATGCATGAAGCATGAGAGACATATAGGTTCCAATGACTCAACTCCCGGAATTGGAGATTAAAATCTCAGCTCTATAACGCTCAAGAGGAAGTTATGATCCGCATTATTTAAATTATGACTATCTTGGAAGAAATATTATATTGCCTTGAAGAGGCAATGGATATCCAAAGAAATTAAAAGTTTTTATGCATGTGCATGCACATGAGAATATGGGATCAATGATTGATGACAACCAATGGTAATTTTGGTTTTTACAAGTAACTACTAAATTCATCAATGAGCTGTATTGATATTGAGTCACGTTCTTTTGTTCGTCGACGAAAGGAAACATTATTTGCCAAAAATGGAGAAAGGCAATTCCATTACAATCTTGTAAGAACATGGAAAAATGGACATATATATATGTATATAATACAAATAGCCAAAAGATGTTGAACCAAATGAGGTTACATATGGGCATTTGTAATACAGTGAATTACACTCACATAATATGACACAAGGTTACTAATTGAAACCTGAAATTATGCTCTTATAAACAAATTCATATGAATGGAGAATTATATACGAAGGGTTATCAGTCGCCCACCATATATCTCCATAAGTAAATCCCTTAAATATACATAGAAGCAAGTTGCTCTGTATAAATTCCAAAGGAAAATGTGTCATGAAGTGTAGAAAATCACTGAAAGATTCAGATTGCTTGAAGAAAACCCTGGAAGGGTAAAGCATAAAATATGTACTTAAATACCAATGGATGATATAAATTGCCTTAGTGAGTACTATCATTACGATATTGTTGTAACATACTAAAATCTCTTACAAGATTCGTTAATATTAGATTTAGACTCTTGAAGAGTCTAGAAAGTTTATAAAGTGTTGAGAGAGATATTGTTTCGAACTGCAGAATCTAACAATATGCCAACACGAATCTTATCCATGATGTTTATAAAGAATCATATGGATTGAAAATTATGAGTTGAATACTCAAATTATTCAGACACTAAGAATGATCATTTATCTTTGTGAAGGTAAAGATAAATTGATATTTGGTCCAGAAGTATCACATCTTGGTGAAGTATATGCTTTATTGTATTTGGCATAATACATTGAATGAAATAAAGCTTATCTATTAATATTTTCGAGAAGTTACATACACATGAGTTAAAACAAACAAACAGGAGGAAACCTTCACAAAAGTTGCTCATGTGAAGCCTCGGTACTCGAAAATACCCCAGAAGGGGAAGACACCAAAGGTTGATTATTTGGAGCCTCAGTACTTGGTGA